ACAGACAGTGCTGGGACTGGGACGTGGATTGCTGGCATACTCAGGATCCTTGGTTGCCCTGAGCTGATCTAGAGAGACAGGGCTGCTCTGACCCCCACATCTGCAGCTCCTGAGCAGACTGACATATGGTGTGACAGCACTGAATACCTTGCTCATGAGCAGAGAGCAGAGTCTAAGGGTTAAAGGACCTGGAGGCACCTGTGTCCCCAGTGGCTCAGGTGACAGGTTGCTAAATATCCTGCTGAGGTATTACAATTATCCAGCTCCCTCAGGATTCAGGCAGCTGGTTCCAAAGAAAATTTCTCAGGCAGCTGGCCTGAGAAAAAGGTGTTTATTTCTTGATGCCTGTAACTTTAGTACTGGAAAACAGGAGGAAATTTGCCTTTGTAATTCAGAGTTAACACGGACAAAAACCTGAAAATAATAACTAAAACAAAGCTTACAGGAATCATAATATATGAACAGTGTCTTCAACTTATAAGAGTAAAATAGCACTGATAGAGAAAATATTTCCAATAAAATGGTCTATTTTGACGGTTCTGCATTTTGGGAGAAAGGAAAATAATTTTAAATTATTCTTTGTAGGTAATTTTAAACAACCTTCTAAGTCTTACCATATGATTTTGATTTGATACTTTCTCATGTTTTATTAATCTTGTGTATAGGTCTGCTGAGAGTCTAAAATCCATTTATGAAAAAGACACAAGGATGTGGGATTAGTGGAGTCAATAGCAAGCCAAGTTGAGATCCACTGTCCAGGTGTCCACTACATACATGGACAACTTTTCCAGTTGCCAAATTGCACTTCATTAGTCACCACTTATAAATATTTCAGGAAATATCCTTTATGGGTCTTTCTCTGGTTTAATTTAACATTTTTAATCCTATTAGTTGTTGTCCCAATAGTTCCTGTTCCTAGTATCAATTGCAGCAAAGACCATATTTTCACTACTATTGATCTCCATGGAGTTCTGCAATGCCAAAAGGGGTGAACAGTGTAGAGTTAATCAGTGACTTGCACCTTCATCCCTGAGTCAACACCCTCTCCTATTTATTCAGAGCTTTTCTGCATTGTGGAAAGACAGCCTGGATCTCTTTGGGAAGACTTACACAGGGATACAGACATGACCAGAAACAGTGAAAGGATCATTGAAGTAATGGACAAATATTTTTCAGAGAGTGACAAGATGGCCCCAGAAAACATGCTGTTTTCCTACAGAGGTATTTTATACCCAATTACAGTTAGCAGCCCGGAGACTTTGGAAGCTCTGGAATCCTTTGAAGCCAGAAGTGATGATGTGATTCTCGTAGGCTATCCTAAATCAGGTAAGTGTTCTCTTGATCAATAGATAAAGTACACAGTACTACAATCCAGAAGTTGATTATTCAATGCCATCAATTAATACAGCAATAATTCCTGAGAAAAGCTTATGATGACATCAAAAAATCATGAATTTAAGCTGTAAGGCATATCTAGAACTAAAATACTACAGCCCCCTGCTCAAAGCAGGGGAAAGACCTAACCTCCAAAGTAAGGTTTCATTGCTCAAGGCCTAGTCCAGAAGAGTTTTGAAACTTTTGTTTTTACATCAATGCAGTTAGACAACCCTTGTTGTGAGAGAGTCTCTGTCTTCATTATTACCTTCAGTAGTGGAAGACTGTGGTGAGAGTCTCCCATGCCTTTTTTTCTCTTTCTCCAGCCTGAGCAAACCAAGCCTTTCAATGCAGTTCATTTGCTCCAGTTCCCAGTAGTTTCATGGAAGTTCAACAAGACTTTCTCCCAGTTCTCAAAATCATTTGTGCTTCAGCCTAGGAATGGCACACAGCATTCAAATGGTGAGCTCAAGAGTGCCAGCTAAAGCAGGATAATCACATCCCTTGATATTTTGACCACGCTTGCTAATAAAAGAAAGTATGTTGTTACCTTACTCCCTGCAAGAGCAATACAGGGAATATATGCTTCCAATGCAAGCAGAACTGCTGTTTCCATATTTTTACTACATTGCAGAATGCAGGTCATTCCCTTGTATCTAAATGGAGGGGAAGACACAAATGCCACAAGGATTTTTACACATTTTCTCTCTCTTTCACTGTAGGCATTTCAGACGCCTTAATTTTTTTCCTATTGACTTTACAGAAATATTTTAATATGTAATTTTCTGAAAAAGAGAAAGTTGATCCTTATCACATCACCTTTGTGTATAGCCTCTAGAGCTGTACCTAAGCAGAAATGGTTTATATGTGTGAAGATCCACCTAAACACTGAAGGAAGTGATAGTTGAAAACTGAGATTTGGCTCGCTGAACCCAATCCCTCAACCACCAGTTCTCCCAGGCTGTTGAGGCCAAGACAACTAAGTCTGGTGCAAAGATGGTGTCAGGAGCATGATGTTCTGGTGGCTTGGTTGGTGACTGTAACTTGGTTCTGTAACTGTTGACAGTTACAGAAACCTAACTGGGAATGGTGAATGAGGGCAAACTGTGTCAATAATTAAGAGACCATAAAGTGAAGCTGGTTGGGAAGAGGGAACAGAGTTCCCAAAGACAGCACTGTGGAAGGAAAGCAGAAACAGCCCAGAGATGACTCAGCTGGCCCAGTGCTGGGAGCCACACAGCTTTTGAGTAGTTTCCACAGGGAGTAATGTGAGGTAACCAAAAAGTATCAGAGTTGTAAAGAGCAGTAGAGATCTGCTTCTGCTGAGGGATATGATGTGATTCTGAAGCAAGCAGGGTAGCACTTCACACTATCTGCTTAATAGCTCTTCCCCCATTGACCTTAGGCATACCCTTGTCAGTTATTAACCAGGGCCGTGATCTAACCTCAGCTGGAAACTCACAGCTCAACTCAGTGGCCCCACAGGACCACACTCTATTTCACCTGCAATGAGATGCAGGAGGGAAACAGAGAAGTCATGGGTTGAAATAAACACAAGTAAAGCAAGAGCTATGTGTGCAAACAAAGCAATGTAAGGAATTCATTCTATCCTACTGGCAGTAAAATGTTCAGCTGTCTTCAGGGCTCCATCACCTATGACAGTGGTATGGTAAGACAAGTGCCATAGCTCTCAGCATCTCTCTTTCCTTCTTCTTCCCTCAAATTTTATTGCTGAGCATGGCTACATATGGAATAGCATACTCTCCGGGTCAGCTGGGATCAGCTGTCCCATCTATGTCCCCTTTTAATTTCTTGTGCACCAGCAACCTACTCTCTGGCAGGTCAGTGTGAGAATCAGAGAAGGCCTTGACACTGTAATTACTGCCTGGCAATAACTAAAACATCACTGTGTTATCAACATTGTTTTCAGCACAAATTCAACACATAGCTCCATACCAGCTACGATCGGGAAAAATAATTCCATTGCAGTGAAAACCAGCACACACACTTGTTTAAAGCTTAAAGTACAACATTGAGCCAAACTGGTTCACTTGAAACCAATTTGACAGGATACCATCAGCTGGGTTTACATGAAAAAGTGAAGTTGAATGGATGTCCTTTATTCTTTTAGGAACCAATTGGCTTGAACAAATGGTGAAGGAGTTGGCAGATGCCAAATATACAGAAGAGGAAATGAAAGAGAGAATAAATGCTGAAAAGAATCTAGAGACATTTCAGCGTCTAGAATTTGGGGATCCCGGGATATATGAGGTAAGCAGGAACTGAAAATACTGTCACTGCTCTCCCTACAGGTAGTGATAGCTGAAAGGGAATGTCTGACCTCAGAGGTAATGGTCTGTGAAGCAGCATGTGCTACTGCCTCTGGTGTCCCAACACAAGGGCCTCAGATGGGAGACAGGGCTGAGAAGGCACCAGGTTCTTCTGCCATAGGCCCAGTGAGTTTGATTAGTAAGACCTTTTTCTTGGGTGTCCTGTTCTTAGGCCTGTGTCATATGAAATGGTGCTTGGTGGCAGAGGTTGGCAGAAGCCTACACCACCAGTGCATTCCTGTGGGTTTTCCAAGGGATAAAGTACTTCTCTGGTCTCACCTTTTCCTATAACCCACAAGTAATGAATAGGCACAACTCACTGAATAAGCTACTTCTGTCTTGTCACATTTCTTCTCACTTTCTTTAAAGAGGATGAAGCAGCTTCCTACCAGAAGAATTATAGTAACTCATCTGAAACCTGATCTCCTGCCTCCATCCATTTTCCAAAGCAAGGCTAAGGTGAGTCTTCTTGCATCACACTGCATAAGCTTTCCACCCTAATTTAGCTTTCTTCTGTGTGAGGTGTCTTTTCTGCATTTTCACCTGAGCTGGTCAATACACAGCCACATTTTCAAGCTTGAAGATAACAGGTCTGTGTGCCAAGGCTGTGAACAAACATCCTCTCCCAGCAGCAGCTTTGCTGACTATTGGTGGGCTTGTTGCTGAGTGTCACTGTCCTTTCAGATCTCCTTCAGAAAGATGCTTCCAGGTTGGTGGCAGAAAACTGAGCAAGGCAAGAAATAATTTGACTGGTTTAACTTGCCTTCAAAACCAGGGTACCTGTGGACAGCCCACCACAGATTGGGGCTAAGACAGTCTTAGATGGGAATAACTGCAGAGACAAGCTAGGGTACATCTAAAGACTGTTTGTGGTTCTTTTGTTCAGTAGATCATGAACTCAATTCTCTGAATTTGAACTAGGTCAGAAGTGTCTTGAGGGAATCACTGAAAAGCTTATTTTTTTTTCAGCCTGAAGCTTACATTAGCTACAAGTGATTTGCCAAAGCTCTGATTTTTTACTCAATGAAAGGGATTAGACCAGAATTGTATGGTCTGCTTAATTTTAGTAGACAAGTAAACTTGCAGACAACAAGTTGGGTGGGAGTGTCAATTTGCTGGAGGATAGGAGGCTCTGCAGAGGGATTTGAACAGATAATGGGCTGAGACCAATTGTATGAGGTTAAATAAAGTATGTACTGGGTCCTACAAAATGGGAGTTACAGCAACCCCATGCAGCACTAAAGGCTGGGGGCAGAGTGACTAGAAAGCTGCCCAGTGGAAAAGGACCTGGGGGTCCTGGTTGACAGTGGCTGAACATGAGCAGAAACGTACCTCAGTGGACAAGAAAGCCAGTGGCATCCTGGCCTGGATCAATAACAGTGTGGTCATCAGGACCAGGGCAGTGATTGTCCCCCTGCACTTGGCACTGGTAAGTGACACACCTTGAGTACTGTGTCCAGTTTTGGGCCTCTCACTACAAGGAGGACACTGAGGTGCTGGAGTGAGTCCAGAGAAAGGCAATGGAGCTGGTGGAGGGTTTGGAGCACAAGTCTTAGGAGAAGCAGCTGAGCTAGCTAGGGGTGTTTATCCTGGAGAAAAGGAGTCTCAGGGGGAACCTTGCCACTCTGTACAACCACCTGAAGGGAGGGTGTAGTCAGGTGGGGCTTGGTCTCTTCTCTGAGTGATGGCTGACAGGACAAAAGGTAATGGCCTCAAGTTGCACTGAGAGGGGTTTAGATCTAGATATGAGAAAAAATTCCTTCATAGAAAAGGTTGCCGAGCATTAGAACTGGTTGCCAGGGAAGCGTTTGAGTCAGTGTTCCTGGAGATATTTAAAAAATATGTAGATCTGGTATATGGTTTAGTGATGGACTTGGTAGTTCTTGGTTAATGGTTGGACTTGATGACTTAAACGTTTCTGTGATTCAATGATTCTATGTGATATGTCAAGAAGATGGCATTTTGGTCAGTCAAATTATGTGTTTTCCTCCTCTAGATCCTTGTGCTAGTTCGGAACCCCAAGGACACAGCTGTCTCCTACTACCATTTCTACAACAACCTACCACTGCTGCCGTCCATCGCCTCCTGGGATGAGTACTTTGCAGACTTCATGAATGGAAAATGTACTTTGTTCTACATCCTCTGACATTTCTCCTACCATGAGGGGCATACACAGGGCCCTTTGCATGGGAGTCCTTCTGTGACTTACCTTAGCAAGGCACTCCCAGAACAGGCAGACAGGCCCCTGTTATGGCAGAAACGGACTGCCAGAGAATCAGAGTTCTGTCTTTCACTTAGAATGGAGAGATCATGAGAAAGCTTTAGCCTGACTTTTCTATTCCCAAAAGAGAGCTTGTGGTTTGCCGTATCAAGTGGCAGGCCTGGGCCACTCTTCACTGACCTCAGGAGAAAGAACAGATATGTTGAGCTGGTCACCCATTCACCATTCTAAAGCCACACTTAGAAAGCTGTCTGGGCTGACTCCTCTGATTTGGTTAAGGGCATGTATTGGGGACTACACTAGACTGTTATGCCTCTTCTTTGTTTGCAGTGGCCTGGGGATCCTACTTTGACCACCTAGTGGAATGGAACAAATACATTGACAATGAGAACATCATGACAATAAGCTATGAGGAACTCAAAGAGGTGTGGCATTTCACCCAGCTCTTGATGAGTGTGCTGTGCATCCCCCCATATTATGTATGGCCGTGGGAAGTAGAAAACCTTGGGGCAAGTCTGTCTGCCCCTTTAGAAGGATCTGCCTTCCTGAGTTACTTACTTATGTTTGGGGGAAGCCCATGGAGGTTAGGAGGAGGATAGCCTTGCCTATTCGTGAAAGGAGTTTTATCTGGCAGAGGCACAGTTTTTGGGAAAGAAGAAAAGGCCTTGAAACTGAGGCCAACATGTGTAGGTTTTCTGGCCTGAAGGATTTTCTGTTACTGCTCTTAGAATTCCTTGGTGACATTGTAGGAGACAGCTTTGCCTGCTTGGCTTCCCACAGGGTGCTGGCTCCATGCCACAGCCACAGTGTCAAATCTTTTGGTTTCACCTCTGTGCTACGTTCCTTTGGGCAGGACCCAATACTGGGCATGAAAAAGATTGCTTCTTTCTTTGGATTTTCTCTGTGTGAGGAAGATTTTTCCAGAATTGCTGAGAAGACCAGTTTCAAAGCTATGAAAGAGAAATCAAATGAAACCCATGGAAAGTTTGGGGACGCCCTCTTCCGGAAAGGTAAGTCTCTGCAAATGGAGAGCTAGCTTCTGAAGGAGAACTCCAGAAGGAGTTTTGAGTATGTTACTTTACTTAGTTGCGAACTCATTGGACTGTCTGGATGAGTTCTCTCCTGTGGTGTCACTTGTACAAAGAGCTTCTGCTGTTGACAGGATTTGGGGGCTGTATGTGAGAAACTTACCAGAGTGACAGTCTTAATGTCCTCAGTCATTGCCTCTGTATTGCTGTCTTTTTCTGTAGCAGCCCTGATTATTTAGGTGAGTGAGGTGCAAAGGTGTGGGCCAGCGTTGGTGAGGTTGTGGCTGTGCACCAAACCTTCCTGGGCTCTGTGTAACTCTGTTACTCAGTGTTGTGGTGCAGCTGTCTCCTGTTGTTCAGGTGATTATGTGATGAGGCTGCACATGTCACTTCATGATAGTCACCTTTTGGAGGAGGTGTGTTAATGGGACAAGACTCTATTGAACCTCAAGGGAATGCATTGTTCATTGGTCTGCTGGCCTCAAAGAATCTTCCTGTTACCTACTCAGCAAGAACTTTATATGTCTCCTCTCAATGGAAATGTCAGTGGTGGTCCCAGAGATGGTATCTCACAGATGTGGAGCCAGGGTCAGAACTCTGGCAGCTTTCCTGCTCCCCACAACCTCAAGAATCTTTTGTTTTTGAATACTGTGAGCATGGGCTTTTTAAAATCCATTTCTTCCACCACTCCTTGGAGGAAGAGGGATTTAGCCACTCTCTGCCACCTACCACAAAATTTTCCCCTTCAGAGGAATTAATTCAAAAACGATCTTTCCCTTGTGATAAAACCAGATTCCCCTCTTTTCTGTGTAAAATCTTCATGAAGTCACCTTGTAAATTTCCTTCTGGGGATGGAGCACTTGCAGGAAGCTAACTAGCAATGCTCCCTGCTGTCTGGCTACAACCTTTGTTTCTGATCTTTGATACCTGTCCTCTCCCAGGCAATGAGACCTCTCAGGGCAATAAATATGAACCTTTCTGCCTTGCATAATCAGTGACTCTGCCCCACTACTGCCTAGATAGTATTTTCTCTCAGGACCATCTTCCTTCAGTTTTTGGTACTTGTACACAGGGGTTGTTGGAAACTGGAGAGACGTCTTCTCTAAAGCTCAGAATGAAGAAATGTACCAGAAATTTCAGGATTCCCTAGGAGGAACAAAGATGGCAGCAAAGATAAAATATGATGTCTACTGCAAGGACTGAAAATAAGCAGATGAATAGCATGACAGCAAGTCATGTTCCAAATGTGATTCTCCAAAGATGGATAGTCCCCATTTTTCCTTCCCATGAGACAAGAGAGAAACCCCTCTGAGAACTACCTGGCACCTCCAAGGATTTGGCAGGTAATTCTTAGGTGTGTCCAGGGTCTAGAGCTTGTGCTTTGATTGACGTAACCAAATAAAAGGTGTGTATACCTCAAGTGAATGCCTGGCTTCCTTTCAGGAGGGAGATGGTACACAGACATCATAGCACCAGTCTGGAGGCATCCCTGTCTCTGCTTCTTGGCCTGAAATGATGAATGAGGCCCCTGCAGGACTTGTTGGTGAGGGATCAACACAGAGCCTCTCCTCTGGCACAGAGTGGACTTGACACGGATATATGGTGTGGGTCTGAACCACCCAATATCTGTGTACAGGTAGAATACAGGTCTGGGTTTAGATCCATCCTAGCTACCATGGTGTTGGCAGGCCAGAAAGGACTTTGACACTTTGGCATACTTCACACATTGGCATGGCAAAGGGTGGAACTTCTCAAGTTCAAGGAGCCATGAACTCTTATGTAATGAACTGCTATATGCTTTCTGGAGTGTTTTGCTCCTATTGGACTCTCTGGGAAGGTAAGTGGCTAGTAGGAAGAACCACGACATTCAAATGGGAGGACTGAAGGAAAGAAGCCCCTTGATGACCCTAAGCTAAACTAGCTAAACTATGAGAGTGGCATTTATTTGAAAATAAATACACTTATGCTACACAGGTGTGTTTTCCACACCCTCCTTGCTGATGTCGATGTCCTTGCTACATCTGTGCAGAATGTGTTGCATGACTCCTTGTCACAACCAGTCTCCTGGGAAACAAGAAAAACCAAGGAGGTGTCTGTCTGGCAAACAGAATTCGGTTCCTTGGAAGAAGGATTCCTCTGCCATATTCCTAGATAGATTTATGAGCAGGACTCTTACGCTGAACTAAGATTAAATACTGAGCAACCAGCAACCACAAATGCAATTAACGAAACTGGGAAATTGTTAAGTCCTTGTCAAAGTGCTGACTGTCCCTGCACAGCTCCTTGGGACTTCCCCTACCCTGCCCAGGGCCCAGACTCCATGCCAAGTCCTGTTCCAGTGATGCCACAGCAGGGTCAGGCTTCATTTCCTCACAGTTTGCCCTGCCTGGCCACTGGCCCTGCCAGGCTGGATCCATCCACAGACCCATATCCTGGCCAATCCTCAGCCCATCACTTGCCAGGAGAGTGTCTGATGCCTGGGCTGGGGCTGCCCAAGTGCCTCTGGCTGCTGTGCACCTGGCTGGAGAGTAGGATGTGCTCTGGCCAGCATGCCCTGTGTCCACTGTCTGTGTGACAGGGATAATGTCACAGTGATGCAGATTCAGCTCTGAAGGGCCACTCAAAGCCTGCTTCCCAGGCAGATTTTATAAATGTGTGTGCGAGAGCTGCATATGTAAAAAAGCTCTGCATGGAGAGGTATGTTTGTTTGAACCTGATGATTCTGGGTTTGTAGGTTTCCATTTCCAGAAAAGCAGGACTTATTCTGGGCTTCCATGGACGAAAAGAGGCAAGCCACCATGACCTGTAATTTTTGAAATTAGCAATATTTTTACCCATTACTAGGACAGACTATATGATTTACTATATGGTGATATCAAAAGCTGTCTAGACAACAGAAAACACTGTGTAATCTCAGTGTCTGTAAGGAGTTGAACAAGGAATTAAACAAGGGAATAAGACTGACCAGAAATGGAAAAACAATCACTGAAATATTCAAAAGGCTTTTATTAAGATAGGGAGGTGACATCTTACAATGTGTTGGTTTGTTTTTTTCTTCTGTAAAGATTTTTTGCAGCCTAAAGGCCCTTAGCAGCCCAGAAACTTTGGAAACTCCAAAGTTCTTGTAAGCCAGAAGTGATGATGTGATTCTCACCAGCTTTCCTAACATGGGTGAGTCTTTCTTGCTTGATGAATTATTCATTGTTGCAGTACAGAATCGTGTGGCTGCACATAACGCAGCAATAATGCCCATGAGAGGTTAATGATGACTTCAGATTTCTGTAGAGGCATTAGGAGTTGCTCCCTGGAGGAAGGCAGAAGGTGCTTCCACAGGATTTTTTCATTGCAGAATGTAGGTAATTTCTTGGTACTGGGTGGAGCTACAGGCTCACTTGCCACCCAGATTCTTGGACCCTTTTCCTCTCCCTTCCCACATCTTTCAGACCCAGCATATGTGTTTACTGGTTACATTCACGTTTTTACCAAAATACTTAGAGAAATAACAGAACATTTGAGGGAAAAAAAAAAAAAAAGGAGTTGATATTTGATCTGAATTACATCTCCTTAATTCTCCACTTACTTTTTTTTTCTCAGACAGAAAGGTTATAAAATTATCTTATGTAAATATCATAGGTAATTTAGTGATAATTTGATGTCTGAATTGTAGCATCTCAAATTTCCAACCAATCTTAAAAGAACTGTGTTAGGAAATGCTTTATGTGACTTATTTTAAGTATAATATTGTCAAGATTCAATGCAGTTAATTAGATCATGTGGTGGTGAACTATGGGTAAGCTGAGAGGGATGCAGCCAGACTTTCAGGTCTGTGGAGGGAAAGGACTTCTGGCTTCCAAACAACATTTTTCACTGAAATCAATGCAATATGACTTGTGGAGATGAGCTCAGACTCTCTTGGTGATTAAAAGGCTGAAACTGGATTTGGTTATTAGGAGACAAGGTAATGGTTGCACAGAAACTCTTCTGAAAACTAGTTTTGGAGCCAAAATCATTTCAGTCTGTGAAGACTCTTACTTTTGACTTATCCCTCCATTGAAAAAAAATTCTTTTTAGAAATTGATCAATAGTATTTCCTTTGGACAAAAATTGTCATTCTAGGCTGTTTTGGATTTAGTTCTAGAAATACAGTCATCAGTCTTTGCTGATTTGTGAAATCTTATAGTTTCTCATCTGATGGTATCTAAAGGATTTCCTTCTTCTGACCTCAGTCATATGCTTATGGGTGTATGTCATGGGGTGACTTTGCCTTTAAGATAGCTTTGAGAGCTAAGGAAGTTGAAGCTGCTGGAGGCTGATGGAAGTCTTTTCTCCTGACCAATTATCAGTCATTTCTGAGAATTGGCGGCGGATTTAACCATTCAGAAGTGAGATCAACTTGTGAACTCCACCTTAAGATGTAAAGCCAGGGTTCTCTTGCTCTCTTTGATTTCCTGCTTCTGACAAGGTAACAGGGCTCTGTCTCGGCCTCCTCCCCCTCTCTCCAGGCCGGACAAGGCCGCAGAGGACGGGATGGGGGAGAGAAACGGAGCCGGCCAGCCTGGCTTGGTTTGTAGTTTCTGCCGCTGAACTGAAACCTGACATCATGAACATCTGCAGCTTGAGCAAGACTTTAACTCTTTTACTACCTGGATGAGATTTAAAGATTACTCCTTTTTCCCAGAGAGACAGAGAGAGAGAGAGAGACAATCAACATGAAGAAGACATAATAAAACCATCAAAGATAGTGAAGAAAAGAGTTAAGTTTTAGATGGGGAAGAGAGAATAAGGAGATGCTTTAATTAAGCTGAAATATTTTTTCTGTTATAGCTATGGAAATGGACAATAGTGTTCTGAAAAAAACTCCTTTACTTCATGACAGAGTATATTGGGAGGAATGGAGTGTTCAAAGTGTAGATTTTGAGCAAAAAGTAGACTAGTTGTGATACAGTGAGGTGCTGGAACAGAGGGGAAGAATAGTTGAAGATTTGGGGCCGTGAGAGGCAAAGAAAAAACTTCTGTTTCCAGGGAGGCTAACATAGACAGATGAAGAGAACTTTTGCCTTTAAATAACTCATCCTTAAAAATGACATCCCTAGACTCATTTGACCCATAGCACACTTCAGAGTAATGTGAAATGAGAGGAGAGAACTGATGGCAGATTTTTTCCGGGCAGCTGGCATCAGAAAAGTAGAAAGCTATAACAGAAATAGTTTTCTTGTGAGAAACTCCATAGATTAACAAAAGACTCCTGTTTCTCTACAAAGACTGATGAAAAGACTCTAGCAGGAATTGGGACTGTTTTAAACACTAAAATTCCAAAGTTTTTTTGTCTCTATGTTGTCATGTGAACAAGGGAATGGTTGGGTAGTGGGGGAGAAAGGGGGTTTTCTGGAAGTTTTATTCTGGTTTTCTTATTCTTGTAGTTTTGTTAGTAAACTTACTTTATTCCTTTTAAGTTTTAAGCCTGTTTTGCTCTTGTTCTAATCCATATCTCACCAGCAAGAAATCAGTAAGTTTTCTAGTAATTTTTTTAGTTACTGCTTTAAAACCACGACAGTGTGAAAGCTGGAAACCTTATCTATAATGAAAGTCCCTTCCTAAGGCATGCAGTTTTTAATCTTCTTCCTTTGTTTTATTCAGTTTCACCTATAGTTCATGGAACTATCTTTTTCCTAGTAAAAAAAGTGGTGTTTACAAAGACTAAGAACACACATTCTTTACAAGTGGTGGCTACTGTGGCCTTCACTCATCCCTGCTGAAGACAAATGTTCATTCAAATTTCCTCATGGAGCTGCTCCCTGACCTCTTTCATCCCAAGAAATCCAGACTAGGATATCTTTAAATTAGCTGTGAAAGGATCTTCAGTTGTACAAAGCTTAGAGGTGATCCTAACTAGACTTTTTTTTTTTTTTTACAGTGGACAGACTATAATCACTGAGAGTACTGTAAATTTCTAAAGGCTACATTAACATATAGCTAAACTAGGAGAGCCAATGTTTCAAATACAGAAATTTTCTTCTGAATGAGAACATAAAAATACAACAGACCTTTCTCCTCACATTCTTTGTCTCAGTCCAGCAGCATTTTGTGGCATTTTGGGTTGCAGCAGGCTCCACACAGGCTGAATATTCCTGCGAAATCTGAGCTCATGGCTGCCCCAAAGGCTAGGCTTACTTCCCTCTTCTGACTGCAGTTGTCTGCTTCTT